GCATAGCCCTGCTCGAGCTTGATCGCTATGCTGGATTCTAGGAACAGTTTGTCAGATTCCATACTTCGGTGCCTTTAATGTGCAAACGAACCCACACGGAAATTCTTTTTATTGTTGTAGAAGACCTAGCTCTCATCCCCCGTTACCAGATCCTGTTGAAACTTCTTTCACTTACGTGAGACAGACTGACAGGCTAAAGCCGCGTGTGACGTCGTTGACGAGCTAGGGTGAATCCGCTCATTCCTGGGTCCGTGTTTCGAGGTGCTGAACGATTTTGGTATGACCACACTCGAAGACATCCGGCGTTCCCTCGTTGTGGCCTCTGCCATCTTATTACCTTTGGCCGCATCTATAACAGTCTACCAGTCCCACGTAGAGGATTGCTGGCAAGCAGTGTTTCTCTAGCCTCGAATAAAGACTGACTGTCGCATGGCTCAGTGCTGTTTTTCGAGTACACTGCAGATGCTGAGAGCTGTGAAGCGAGCGCTGGTTCCGCAATGGCAACCAAAAGAAAACCGTATCGCGACCTAAGTAAATCACCTCATGGAACACTGAGAATGTTTTAGAATTCAACGATGACAAAATGGCGGCAACAATTCCTGTAAAGAAATGACGATCCATGTAAATTGGTGTCTCCTTACTTTGCACCAATCTAGTGTGTGTTTGCTTGCACTATAGTCAGATTTCTGCTCTCCAAGAATGAGGAAGTTGTGCGTTGTTGCGACCTTTTCAGCTGAAGTATTAGGTTTGTCTTGAATCTTGCACAGTGAGATATCTTCTACCTTTTTACATGGTGTGGCCCATTAGAAAACTAGTCTCAGGGTGCACCATGGGGTGGTAAGTTGAACGAGAAAGAGGGACCCAGCTAAGCCGATGGATTCGGCAAGCTGCGCGTTACCCATAGGTTAGCGTCACACCCCGCTCTTTCAGGCTCTCCTTCCTACTTAGAAGAGTCGAACAATTGCTTGATTGCATTACATTCAAAGTTTCCGAGCTTGTTTAAAAGACTCAGGGTCGGAAATCGAAGGAGAAACATACCAAGAGAAGGCAGATGTAATGCGTGTTTCGCAGCGAAGAGTACACCTCTAGCGGTCTGGTGGGGCACTACACGCGCCGCGGCACGTCCACCCTCTCGCCTTCTGACTCTAGCCGTTTTGCAGACAGCGTTAGCGCTGAAGAGGGCAACACCAATTAGATTCGCAAAAGCGGAAATCAATGGCTAAGGAAGGGGTCTCATTTCTCGGGTCCTAGGAAGTCTGCTATGATTTTTTCTTCAGCCCTGGACCACTGACCACCTCTACCTTAATTCTATGGGTTGCCTTCAATTGTAAACTTCGGTTGTGAAGAAAAAACTGCTGTCAGAGCGGATTTTGACTTGTTTTTGTTTGTGTCAAGGGCATTGTTTTTGCCTCAGTCGCCTTGTGAAATTGGCTGTCAGCTTGTCTTGGCTGGTAGATCAACGGAAATCCAGATCAGTGAGTCTTGTGTTGGTGTAAACAACGTTTGGAGGTCTTCTCAAACTGAATATTTTGCAAAGGCGCCTCTGATTTGTCAGTAGCAACTGTTCCCCACTTCATGTAAAAACGCCAATCCGAATGTCTGTGTGTGTCACAAAATTCGTAATACACCTCGCAGAAAAAGCTGCTTCTCACACGCTGTAAGAGGTGTTATGAATGGGAGATGGCGGCAGGAAACTGGTAATGTCCGGTAAAGTTCGATAAATGACTGTAGATGCGAACCGTCTTTATTTCGTTACGTTTCTCGCCAGTATTGTTCTCATAAATGATTGAGGTGACAGGATGTTGATGAGAATGACAGTAAGTGGCAATGAGCGATAAGCGGTGTTGATGAGAGACAAAGAAAATTGTGTACAGGTGAGGTAAACTAGATGCACATCAACTAAATAAGGTTTTTGCCAAGTTTAGTCGAAGGCAGTAACATTTGAATTTTTTATTTATTTATTCGTGCGTGCAGTTGACAGGAGGAACAAACAACAGACACTGTAGTCAAACGTCAACCTGTGCAGTGGCCCGGAACGAATGCGATAAGAGAGGTAAGAAATACTTGACGCCAGTCCAGGAATTTATTAGCGGCCTGCTCAATTCGGATCATGGGTGCTCGCAATGACATGAAGAAATAAATGTTTAGTGTCGTGGTGGGAAGGCTCGTGGCAAGCAGCCTCGGCCAGCTTCTGGAGTTCCGCAGGGTAGACCTCCAGCTACACAATGGTGCCCATAAAGAAGAAATAGTAGTGGTGCTTCCGTAAGAGCCCTATCTTTAATGGAGCGTGCGGAACGCTTCCTTATTAAAAAATTATCGCAAAGTCGAAAGGTGAAACATGCTGCGGCGGTGAATAGGACATGCTTTTGAAGGTATTGCAGATAGTGTCGACGGTCGTTTGGACAACGATCCGCAGGGTTGTGGAGACATTGTGTTACTAGAGTACCCGGAGTAAGGAGTTTATGGTGGTCGGGGCTTTTTTTGAATTTCGTGGCGTGGATAAAGCCTCGAGAATGCTCTACCATTTGTTAGTCATAAATGTTACCTATGAATTTTTCAGAAAAAAAAAGAAAATTTTAGAAAGAGTGTTGCAGAACTTTCTTTCCAACCTAATATGTTCCCCCTAACGAAATGAGTGCTGAATAAAGCTCAGGACGTGACGTATCGTCCCATTTCCGTCGTCGAATTACCCCAAGCCAGACAATTCTTTCTCATCACTTCATTGGCATAGAGGTGTAAGCTAGGAAGAGCGGAGATTCTCCTTGGCGAGAAGGCCAATGTTGCAATGGAATGCGTCGAAAATTTGTTTTTAGCAAAACAATATTCCGCTTCAAGGTTCTCCATTCTATGTATAGAATTGTTTTTATCAGTTTCATGGTGGCTCATCACATCTGTTTTCGTGTGCATTTCCTTCCATGTTATAAGAAGCATAACTAACAATCAACTGTGCAGTAGGCGGAGCCGTCTTCAGACGGCATCTCTATCATTATATTAGCGACGCGTATGGTCAACATGCTCGGTGTCATCAGTTTTTGTTTGAACACGCTCGTACATTCGCAAATACCGAATCGGTCGTAAAAGTTGGCGCTAAGACGCGCCATTTCACAGGTCCCTCTATCTACTGTCTCACTTCCCTACCTCGAAGCCTGTCTACCTAAGCTTCAACCTGCTCTCTCGCCTTTGATCAGAGCTTAAGTTTGAACAGAGTTGTGTTGTTTTTGGTTGTCAACTGCTATTCTTGGCCTCAGCTATGGACGGAGCTTTCGTCCTGGGCGGGACTCGAACCCGTGCCTCTCGCCCACTCGGCAAGTGCGCTGCACGTGGCGCTGCCGGGCAACGTTTCACTCCAACTCTAAATCATTTTCACTTCAATTCTAAACGAAAAACGGTGCCCTTGTGGCGCAATGTGCGGCGCAAGTGAGAGGTGCGGGTTTGAGTCCCGATCGGGGCGAATGTTTTGTTCACAATCCAGCATTCTTGTGCAAGTCAAATCGGGTAAGTAGCTCCGCTAACACAGGCAATGCTATGGAACCGAATTACGATCAAGGCTCTTTCTGGCAGAAAAAAATGCTTCATCCCGGGCTATTCGAGAGCATGTGACAGACGTGTCAAGGGAACAAATGACCAGAATTGTACGACAGGACGTGCTCACGGGAACACATTGGCCAGAAATTGTAACATCGGGCTTGTTCGGGGGAGCAAATTTAGGGGACCTTCCCAAAGTTTACTTTGCAGTTGACCTTATTTTTCTCTTTACACTGAAACCTTGGCAATATTGTTCATTCCAGCTTGTTTTTTGAACTGTAGATTCAAATGTGGAAAGTTTATTCACGGCCCGACGTTTTCGAAATTTGCCCTTGCTGGTTTAGCACTTACCTTTATAGACAATTTTTGCTTGCTTTCTGCTATAAAATCTAGGAAAGCATTCAGTGAATCCGCATAAGTAAAAAAAAACGGCAGCAGCTTGCGCAGACGTATCCCTTTTCGGACAGTAGAATTCGAAATTGAATTGAAGCAGAGGCATTCTCATGGATCTTGGCATCCCTCTCAAGTTTTTCATTCCAAAAAGTTCAGAGCGGCATTTTTAAGTTCCTTGTAATAGACTCAGGTTCAGAGCTTTTCACCTAACGGGGAAAACTTCTTTCGTTCGCTTCCTTCAGTGCAAAGATTTTTATTGAAATTTGCTTCGCCGTCCTAATTGGTTTTTTCTTCCCTTTTTAATGGGAGGGTTGTTTTGTGAGTTGTTGTGAGTGTTTCTAACTGACTTCGTTAGGGTGATGAAATCAAGCCCGCCCCACGTGCACCATTCAATCCGTGTGAAGTGTTACTGGCCTTTATCAGATTTTTAAGAATGCCTCACTCGCTGGGGAGTGTCTCGCCTTGTTTATTATTGTGTGGGTCACCACACCTCTGTGCGTGTTTCGCACTTACAAGTGATTGCCGAGCCTTTTTTATCCCCCCCCCCTTGTACTTGTACTTCTTAACGCCTTCGAATGTGCAAAGTGAAAAGGCGACAATTCGTTCCGTCGTTACATACAATTATGTATTCCTACCTGAGGAAGCTGTGGACTCTAAATAAAGGATGAAGCATTTGCCGTTGATCAATCCTTTTTGGGATGCGGCACGCATTCTACTTCCATTTGTACATTCGCAGTGGCGTTTGAATGCGATGTGGCCTATACAATGACTTGCGGGGCCAGCCGATGTACAAGTGTTTTTTATCCTCCCAGACAAGTCTGGTACCAATTAACCGACCCCGGAGGGATGGAAGGCTTGGTTGGCCCGGGCGACTCACGACCCAGGATTTGATCCCCGGACCGCTCGCGTGGTAAGCGTGCCACTTGCCACTACACCACTTCCGCCCTAATTCTATGCATAATCGACCATAATGCTTTGACAAAATGTCTCAATGAATTAGTGTTGATTCCGACAAATATCGTGACTCACTTCAGAACGTGACCCTTCGTATACTCTGTTGGTTTTCAGGACCACAATTAAACATGGTGAATCTGCCTGATGTGGTTGAAGAGGACTGGGTGGATATGTGCGATGAGGGCTCGTCTCTCGACCAGCGGGCCGTTCGTCTTCCGCTGATTGCTTATCTACTATTCGTTATTTTGGAGTTGTTAGCTCGGGGGAGTGCGTGTGTTTACTCGGTGAGTATGACGTCATCATAGATTCTTTCCCAGGAATAGGTTTTGTTGATCATTGAAAAAAATGACTATATCAACGCCCGAAGTGTAACATCGGAGATATCTGGGAAGATATGGGCGAAAGGAGCTGAGAAACTCTTTGAATACACATACTTCTTAATATTTGTAAATTTTTCAGGCAATATCTTCACGATCGTTGTCATCGTGCTGCATCCGACGATGCGCACCGGCACGAATTATTTTCTGGCGAATCTGGCGCTCGCCGATTTGCTCGTCGCTGCTTTTTGCATACTGCCAGAATATGGTTCACATCGTAGGATTCGATCACGGCAACTGGACGCTTGGTACGGTAATCGGTTATTTGTAATAACAAGTACAACATCGATCTTTTGAGATCCAGCACTTATAAAAATTGTCGTACCTCATTGATGTTGCCGTTCATGTGGCTCACCCGACATCCGCAATCTATCAGTTGACGTTTCACCGTAATCTTCATGGTCGTTGTCATTGTGCTGCACAGGCGTACCAAATCCAAATTTCAAGGATTTTCAATTTCGATTTTCATATTGCTTGGCAGCCGCTTGGCACTGCCACGCATATGCCCCACCCTTTGCGGGCCACATGGGACAGCGCGGTACTTATGCCTCCCACGCTTTTTGATCGAAATTTCATTATTACACCGCTAAATAGCTTTGACGCGCTCACTTACCATTACTGAAATAATTTTGTGTCATTCCATGTTCGCGTAATCTTCGTTCAAAGTCCACGAAAGTAGGTGAGGAGGCCAGCAAAATCGCGCCGGTCCTACGCGGCTGAGACAGCCAAACCGCGCGCCATCGTCAACTTCCTTGATAGGCATTTGTGTGACCCAAATTCCACTCCATGTAACAATAACTGTACCAGGTTTTATTTTAATAGCTCACGCGAAAAAATTATATTGTAGGTGTGAGACATTTTCGATCGAATCAAAACTTGACTCTCGAAAAATTCTTTCAAAAAATATACGCATTCTTTTGAAATTACAGGTTCGAATTTAGGTGAGCCAATGTGCTACATATACGTTTTTATGCTGCACTTCATCCCCTGCTTGAGCGTCGGGATACTCGTAT